GGGCCTCCTTCGGGCAGGCCCCGTCTTGGCACGAGGGCGGCGCGCGCCTCGTCTGCCACGTTGCGAAGCAACAGCGTCCTCTCGGAAAAACGCGGTCGGTGGGCCAAGCTGGGTGGGCCAATGTAGGCCCGGCCAGGTGAGGGCATCCCTCTTTGTCTGCGGACCCCTCGTTATCGTCTGGCAGGGCGCGCAGTCAGCTTCGACCCCCGTCGCTGCCTGTGGCGGTCGAACGGGCGGGCTTCGTCTTCGCGCGCCCCGTGTTGTCGCAACTCTCGGAGCGCCCAATTTCGCCAGCGCCCGCGGCCGCTTGAATGTCGGAGCGAACGACGGGGTGCCTCGCGTCATAGATGGCATCCTCGCTGCAGGACTTCCTGCTGTCGTTGGTGACGATGCGGGTAGCGGGTGGGCGCGGCAGAGCGATGCCTTCCAGTGGCGATGTCGGGAAGGTGTGCTGAGCTTGAAAAATATCGCGGAAGCGCTAGTTGGCTGGTCTCGAGTCCATCGAGAGAAACATCCTGCTGATGAGGAGGCCGGCTGCTGGCGGCATGTGTAGCTGCGATGGCTGGGAGCCCCGGTGGGGCTCTTGTCTCGGTAGTGGCCCGCCCCCTGATGGGGGGCGGTGCTGGCTGGTGGTGCCGCGTCCTGGCCGTTGATCAGGCCGCTCATATTTGTGATTGGCGATGTCTCTCTGGCGCGCTGGCGTCTCACGCGTCGGTGGCATGTCCGTAAAATTGTGGCGTACTCCCACCTTGATGTAGGTGGGGATGCCCCCGCGCTCCATCTTTGCGTAGTGCGGGTTGGATCGGTCCGTCAGGCCGTTGGCCACTGGGTATGAGGTGAAGCTGCAGAGATGGCGGATTGCGACGCGCGCCAGGCCCCTCTGTTCGTTCGTCACGCTGAGGCCCCCGCACGGGTGGGCAGGTGTGTTAGCAGCGTCTCCCATGTGTCTTTCAACTGGCCCGAAGACGTAGGTTGTCACCTGGTCGCGCTCTGCACGGTCGCCCGCGCGCGGATCAGCGTTCCAGTCGCAGGTCGCCCACGCTCCGCCATGGAACTGCCAAGCATTGGAAACCGCAACATCCGACGCAATGAGGGGCGCAACCAAGGGTCCCGGGGGAAGGCCACATGACCCATCAGTTCTGGGCCGCGGTAGCAACCGCGCCCCCCATGGGCTTCTGGTCAGATACAGACTGAGCTGGGCCGTCGCACCCGTCGCAATGGTCGTGATTCCACGGGGTCGCCATGTGGCGTGGCGATCGCGACGGCCTGTCGAACGGGCAGACGGGCCTGCGGTTCTGGAAGATCCTGCATCCGCAGACCCAGTGCTTTTGTCTGTCCGCTGTCAATTCACCCTTGGTTTTCCTCGGCACGTCGCTGTCCTCGGCGCGGCTGTAGCAAGGTGCCTCGGATGATGTGGCCATCGTCGTCGCGAGCAGCATGTTGCTTGGAGTGCCGATTCCTGCTGTCCTGCTCGCTCCAATCGACGGGTTGATGCCAACGCGCGTAGTGGTCGGGGACAACCAGTCGGCCTCGCCCGTCGCGACACTTGCTTGCCTTTGCCTTGGCCCTTGTTTGCGCGGTCGTTGGAAGAAGCCAGCCCGTTGCGCCCCAGCAGAGAAAATATGAAGGGGCCCTGGGACACACAAATAAATACACACCAATAAAAAGGTTCCCCATATTTTCATATATTTTCTGGGTTTCTGTCTTCCCCCCCACTGCCCATATTTTCCCATATTTTCTGGGGAATCGACGATTAATTGTGTCTGTGTGTTTTTTTCCCTCCTGAAAGTACTAGCGACGGAGCTGTCCCAGCCAATGGCTCTCGACCCCTCGGCGGCGAGGCCGATGGCCCTCGGAGCTGGCCCGTGGCCGGGCATGTAGTCCGTCGCCCATTTGCTTGGCGCGTGTCCGTCCATGTGGGCATTCATCCAGCTTGTCCCGAGAGGCCGGGGTTGTCTCGGTCTCCGAGGTCGCGCCCATGTTCTCGTCGTCGCCCCTGAGCTCGGCGTCGGCATCCCCATGCGCGTTGCCGCGCGCAGGCATGGGGGCGCCGTGCCAGTCCTGGAACGGAGCGGCTTCCTCCACGTGGCCGCGAAGCTCGTCGAAGGTCGTCGGCGTAGTGTTCGGCCCCCTCGCATCCTGCAGCGAAGCGCGCCATCAGGAACCAAGTTGTCGACGATGTCACCGTTTGTGAATCGAACTGGGGGGAATCGATGCGTTTGATATTGTCCTCAGTATGTTCTGATCCAAGAAGTACGGAATCGCCCCCATTCCTTTTGCCCCTTTGGCACTGGGCTTGGACATCGATAGTGCCACCACAGGTGTTGCACTTCATGCGGGTCCCGTTCGGTCCAAAGAGGTTCATCTTTCGCCCCGTTCCTTGTACCGAAGTTTGTTCGGTGTCCCTCACCCGTTCCTTGGCCGAAGAATATTTCTTCAAACCGACAGTCAACAAGTAACGATGCATCTTCTGAAGGGTTTGTGTCCCCCCAAACGTTGTCACTTGCAAGTGTCCCTGCACGGTTTGGGCGTCGCCGGAGGCAGCGTGGAAAGTGCCTGCATAGCTTCCACGTCTATTGAAGATGCCTCCAGCATTGCCTGGAGCGCGTTCAGCCAAGTGGTCATAACTGCGCATGCGCTAAAGTAGTTGATCGTACTGTTTGTTAGGGGATCTGGTGGTTGAGCGACTGTCGGAGATTAGACACCACGAGGTGCCAACTCCTAGCGCACGAAATAGGATGATCGTCAAAATCTTGAAATCTGGTATGATGATGCCGGCTGGGTCAGCTTCCAGCCTGGCCAGATCGAAGAGGGCTAAGACTGCATCGATTCGGTCCCCGCGCTCAACGCGGAAGTCGATGAGTGCCGTACTAAGCGTAAGTTGTCGTTCTTCTAAGGACCTCGGGCACGGGTATCATTTCTTCCCGCTGCATGTTCCCAACTGTAGCACAGGTGCATATCAATATGATGCCAAAGATCGGGATGTTGGTATAGGGAATTATGCGATCTTGGTCACGGATGTGATGCTCTTGCTTTTCTGGGGTTGACGTGGCCGTCAGCTTTCAGATGGGCATCGGCACCTGTCCGCACGGTAACATTGAGCCACGCAAGATCACATTGAAGTGCAACTTGCTGCCAATTAGCTATGGGGTTGATTGGGGGTGTAGTGGCGACTAGCTGTAGCGTGCACGGAATGGTCGACGTGGCCGTCGACGGGCGCATAGTCACAGCTAAACCAGTGGCCTGGCGCCGCTCCGCGAAGGAACGTTCGCGAAGTAGGAGCCACCATGTTACATGTTAGTCGTCCTCCAAACAACGCGGTGGAATGCCGGAATTTAAATCAGAGCCAGCCACACGGTAGTGAGGCCAGCTCCGCTACCAAGCTGAAACAATATGGTAAGCCGAACCAGATACTACGCCTGATTCGTCCCATGGCCCAACCATCCTGAAGTATAAGTGTGTAGCTGAAAGATGGGACATGGGATGGGACATGTGAGAGGTGCAAGCTGGAAGAGTGCTTTCCGTTCGTCGCAAGCGATTGTAGACCACAGTCGGTCTGGGCCTAGACAGCTGCCCGCCGTTTGAACCAAGCGGCAGCGCCCATACGCTCGCTTCGCTCGTCCTTCAACTTCTGCGAATCAAGAGGCCTTCAAGACGGCCCCAGGAGTGCCCCAAAACGGCCAAAGAGGCCTCCAAGACGCCCAAAATGGCCTCCTTGGCGGCTCTGAAGCGGGCCCCGAGTTGGCCCAGAGAGGCCCCATAAGACGGCTTCCCACGGTGTCAGACGGGCCGGGAACGCCCTCAGACGCAAAGGCCCCTGAAGAGGTACACGGAAGCCCGCTGGAGGTCTCCAAGAGACCCCCAGGATAATCCCTGGAGGCTCCAAGGGTGCCCCAAGGCTCCCAGAGGCCCCCCTCCTTCTCCACCTCCTCCTTCTCCCTCTCCTGATGCTCTCGCCCATCCTCCTTCACTTGTTCCCCGAAGGGTTTCCACGTAGGCTGGGGGGACACATCGTCCGATAGCTTGGACGAGCTCTGGCCTGAACATTCGGCTACACAGGCGCTTCCAGAAGGCAGGAGGCGGCGGCGATTCGCTGCGGGCATCTTCGATAAATCTCGAGGGAATCCGGGGGTGCAGGAATTTTCGGGATTCTGAAGACTTCCTCGGGAATATCCTGTTTCCTGAAGGGTCCTGAATTCGAGGTGCTACCAGCAGGAACGCTAGATAAGGAACGGAGGGGGCTTTCTGGCCACGGTTGGCCTGAGGCCACAAGCAGATCTGGCGACATCAATCTGTCGCCGCGACATAAATCTGTCGCCGCGCCGTGTTTTCTCGACGCGCCCAAGTGGACGACGCCGACACCACAGCAAACCCACAGCGAAACCCTGCGTCCCGCGCCCCAAATAGACGACACCAGCACCGCGGCAAGCCCACGGCGATCCCGCCGCGCCCGCGGCGGAATTCGCCCAGGTGCCCGCGGCGCTCTCCCCAAGACGGAAGGCCGCGCGTCGGAACAAACGGCGCGGCGACGTCTAAGGTAGGGAGCCCACAAAGGACGTACGCGCCCAGCTATGTACATGAACACGGCCCCTCGATTCGCGAGACCGGCCGCGTTATACGAACATTTGTGCAATGCGTGCTCTCGAAACCAGCGTGGATTCATGTACATGTACGTCCTTCTTTCGCTCCTGATAAGGAGCGCCGCGAACCCCCGACCCCCCTCCGAACCCAAAGCGGCCCTGGTTTCAGCGCCTTGGCTGCACCAGACCTCCGCCTGCCGACAGCTGCGGCGGGCTCCGCCCACGGGTGCCTCAAGAGGCGCACCGGGCCCGTCGCGGAGCGAGGCCCGCGCCGATGCGACGAAGCTTCTCCGCGCGCGAGTCTCCCGCCCGCGCGCGCGCCCTATCGCCGTCGCTCAGAGGAGGAACAACTATCAATACTTTTCTTCCGAATTGAAAAATAAAACGGGTGTGGTCTGATTAGTGGGGTGTCTGATTTGAGCAGTCTTGGAGGGTCCTGGGGGGTCTGGGTCAAAGGCCGTCCTTTCATGGCCAGACTGGGGTTGGTCTGAAGTTGCTCGTTTGGAAGGGTTGTGATCCCCCCACCCTTCATTGCGAAATTCGGGGTACCCTTTGCCCGTTCTCACCTTATTCGGCATCCTGGGAAGCCCTTGTCGCCACCGTTGGATTCGCCTCGAAATCGTGGTCACAGCGCACCGCGGGAGAGGTCTGGAGTAGCGGTATCGGTACCTTTCGGTATCCCCAGTCGCGGAGATGGGATGAACACTTCGGGCAGCAGGGACAAAACAAGCCAGCGCGGCAATACTGGGACGAGGCCCGAGCCCCGCAGACAAGGAGGGGCGGCATCCGTGTGCACTCCCACGGAGGAGCTGCGCGCGGCGTGAGTCCAAGACCAAAGCGGGCTTGAGCGCCTTGACCGACCCGTGCTTACAAAACGGGTGCTCACATTCACATTCACATTCACATTCACATTCACATTCACATTCACATTCACACGCACACACACACGCACACACACACACACGCACACACACACACACACACACACACACACACACACGTGCGCTGCCAAACGGCTTTCGAGCCGTGCTCAGCATGGCGCCGTGGCGGCGGCTCCGGCGGCACGCTATGCCTTGCAAGCGGATGGCGTGCGGCTCCGCTCCGCAGAGCGCGAGGCTGGGAAAAACTCGAGACGTTGACGCTTGGGGGCTGGGACGTGGATGGCGTGTGGCGCCGAAGCGTGGTGGGCCAGAACCGGCGGTGCGACACCCTAAGGCGAAGTTCCTGACCTCAAGACGGGTGCTGACGTTCACCCACACGCTGCCAAGCGGCTCTCGAGCCGCAGGATCTGAATAGGCCGCAGTGGCGGAGCGAGGCCCACCCACAGCCGCGGAGCGAGACTCCCGCTGATGCGCAGCCCCCAGTCGCGCAACGAGGTGCCGCCCTGGTCGCGGAGCGAGACCACGAGACTCCTGCCCAACAGTCGCGGAGCTAGACGTCCGCGGATGGGACGCGTGACGCCCCGCCGCATTGGAGGGGGCCGCGCGGGGGCCGAGGCGAGGAAGGAGGCTCCCCTTCGGACGCATGCGAGGAAAAGGGTGGGGGGTGCTGGAGCCCGGGCGGCGCGGGCGCGCACTTGAGCATCCCGCCCCCCGCAATATTGATGAGGGGGTGGGGTGCGTGCGCGCGCTTTCTGGCTGATCCCCTCCCCAATCCTTCTCCCCCCCCTCACCCCCCTGCTCCCCGCCCTCCCTTCCTCCTTCCGTCCGCCTCTTGCTCGGTGCTCTTGGCCAGACAGGATCCACCACCGTGCCCCCAGGCGTGGTCGAATGCCAAGTTTTGAATGGTAGGATTCGTGTAACTCTTGTGGGTACCGCCCCACACATATCCAGAGGCGTTGGGAGCCCCGATGCCTCCCTGGTCCCTGGCGCTCTCCAAAGGGTGCAGGATTTCAAAGATGGCTCTCAAGAGGGCCCCCAAATGGACCAACATGCCTTCAGGACGGCCCATGATGCCCCGACGCGGCCTAAGAGGGTTCCAGGAGAAGCTCCACGATGGCCCGACGAGGACCGAAACACTTTTCAAATTCTGTTGTCGGATGAATTTCGCGTTCTCGCCATTTTTCCGGGCCCGAGACTGCCCAAGAGGCCTCGAAACTGGCCCCGAGACTGCCCTGGATGCCCCCCGAACTGCCCCAATACGGCCCGAGAGGCCGCCAAGAAGGCCTCAAGATATACATGTGGTTTCACCTATACGACCGCAAAGCGGGCGATAAGGAGGTTTAGGGGGGATTGAGATCAAATGCCCACCCTGACTGACCTCTCCAGCCTGTCACATTGATATCATATCTCTCTTTCTCTCTGTCTCTCTCTCTCTCTCTCTCTCTCTGTCTCTCTCTCTCTCTCTCTATCACGCTCTGTCTCTCTCTCTCTCTCTCTCGCCCTCTCTCGACTCTCTCTCTCTCGCCCTCTCTCTACGGCTTCTGAAAGGCAAGGGATCCGAACGCTCGAGCCTCGCACTCTGCCGCGATCGCGCCCAGGCGCCGACAAAAATGAATTGATGGATTGGGTTGGGTGGATTGGATTGGATAAGATGAATTGGAGAATTTAAGATGGGTTGGATTGGAAAATATGGATTGGATCAAAAAAGATTGATTGGATTGGCCCGCCGCAAACCCAGAAACACATGAATTGCTGGATTGGGTTGGATGGATTGGATTGGGTGGGATACGATAAGATGGGTCCATATGGGTTGAATACGATGAGATGGATTGGATTCAACAAGATGGATTGGATAATATAAGCGGGACTGGATAAGAAAACCCGCCGCAAGGGGCGACGAACATGAATTGATGGATTGGGTTGGGTGGGTTGGATTAGATGGGATGATATGAATTGGATCAGATAAGATGGGTTGAATTGGAAGAGATGGATTTGATAATATAAGATGGATTGGATTGGCCCGCTGCAGGCGCAGAAACACGTGAATTGATGGATTGGGTTGGGTGGATTGGATTGGGTGGGATAAGATAGGATGGGACAAGATGGGTTGAATAAGATGATATGGATTGTATTGAACAAGATGATTTGGATAAGACAAGCTGGATTGTATAAGAGAGCCCGCCGCAGGGGCCGACAAAAATGAATTCATGGATTGGGTTGGGTGGATTGGATTGGATGGGGTAAGATGGATTGGATAAGATAGAATGGGTTGGATTGGAAGAGATGGATTGGAAAATATAAAATGGATTGGATTGGCCCGCCGCAGGCGCAGAAACAAATGAATTGATGGATTGGGTTGGATGGATTGGATTGGGTGGGATAAAATAAGATGGGGCAAGATGGGTTGGATAAGATACAATGTATTCGATTGGACAAGATGGATTGGATAAGAAAAGCTGGACTGGTTAAGGAAGCCCTTCGCAGGCGCCGAAAACAATGAATTATGAAATTGGTGACATGCGTTAGCGCCGGGACGCCCGGGACACCCGGGACACCGCCCAGCCCAACTGGGACACCTCCCGGCCACCGGCGGAGGGGACACGGACTTTCGCTCCTACTGACACCTGGGACATCCGGGACACCGCCCAGCCCAACTGGGACACCTCCCAGCCACCGGCGGACGGGAACGGACTTTCGCTCCTACTTCGGCCTAGCTACAGGACGATCACGCGCAGCTTCGCCTCGCCCGCACGCACGACACAAACACGAAACCGAAACCGATTTCCCGGTGGGGGGTCTCCGTTTCACTGCGATCTCACCCCCCAACCTCCGATACTTTATACATATAGATATAACACACACACACACACCCAGTGCGACCACTGAGGACACTAATAAAGCCCCACGACGGTCCAGAAAGGCTCCCCGAACGGACTGCAAAAGCGCCAGACTGCCCAAGAGCGCCCTAAGACAGCCCAAGGAGCCCCCTATAAGAGGCCTCCGGAGGCCCCGAGCACGCCCCCGAGAGGCCTCGGCAAGGCCCCCAAGAGGCCCCAAGAGAGGAGGTAAGGGAAGAACGAACGAACGAGCGAATCACCACATCGCACAGCTGTCCGGGCCTGCTAAGACCAGGTGGGTGAGGCCATGGCCTCCCGTAGACATGCAGACGTGCATATGAACTGCGAGGCATACAAAAAGCTGCGAATCTGCAAAGGACCTGCGAGGCCGCGAGGAGGTGAGGGAAGAGGAAGGGCCAGAGTCTCCGAACACGACGTGGCAGACCGTCCCTCGTGTGGCGGCTCTCCCGGCAGCGCCTCTCGGGACGCGAGGTGTCACACACGTGACGGGCCTCCGTGATCCCAGGAAGCGCGCGGGGGCCGTGGATGTGGAAGGGGGGGCCCTCCTCCGCCGCCCGAGCCGCGGGGCGTGGCGGAACCCCCGGAGTCTCTCGACGAGGCGCAGGCGGACTTGATAGGGGCCGCATCCTCCCGCCATGAGGATCGACCGCAGGATCGAACATCGAGGACAAAGGTGTCGGAGCTCGTGATGGCCCTTCGGAGGCCGTTGGGGACCACCAGGAACCTTCACGACATCCCCAATCCTTGTCCCCGCGTCGCGGCACGGCAGTCGAGGGTCTGACCCTTACCTAATGTAATCTGTGACGTGTGCCAAACTGAAATGCGGCCTCTGCAAATTTGAACCATGACTGCACCTTTGGTTTGGCCAGCTGGAAGTGGATCTCGGCTGCTGTCAGCCCTTCGCTCACATCCTGCGAGAACTCGTTCATCTCGCCGAACAGCATCCTCAGGCGGTTTGCGTACATGTTCTTCTCCCTGAGCTGAGCTTCAATGGTCAGCTCCAGGTCTTGTTGAGCACCCTCGATAGCGTTCTGACAGAATCCGCCGCCGTGCCGTGTGCCGTGGGCACAGGATGAAGTCTCCTCAGGTCCCGCTGAGTTCTCCGTTTGGGGTGCTCGAGATACATATAGAGCTGGTGGCTGTCATCACCCTAACTCTGGAGTGGAGACAGGAAGAAGGCCGCCTGCTAGCGCAGGAAGCCGTTTGTGTGGTCGAAAGACCGGCCGATGATGGCGACCCTCACCTTGCAGCAGGCGATCTGCATCTCGGCGCGTCGGCGGCCAGCCGGGCTGGCGCTGTGGGTGATCGATCCACCCGCTCTTGCTCGCGACCCTCGGTAAAAGGGCGCAGACCCTTGAGTTGCAGGAATTTCCAGGGCTGTCCGTGTGGCTCCTTGGGTGTGCCGCCTGACTGCTCCTGAGCCCGGAGAGCCAGAGATCCCGAAGACAGCCAAACAGGGTCCGAAGAAGGCCCAAGACGGTCCGTCAGGATTCTGAGTCGGTCCAAGTGGGCGCCAAGACGGGCCAAGATGCCTTCCAGGCGGCCCAAGAAGCCCCCAAGACGCCCCAAGAGTCTTAAGAAGACCCCAAGGAGGGACCCAAGAAGTCAAATCAGTTGGCCGCTTCGGGTTTTGAGTGATTTGAGCGTTCAACGCTCCAAGATGGCGCAGGAGGTCTCAAGACTGACTGCCCCAGGACGGCCTAAGAGGCCTGCAAAGGGCCCCATAAGGGGGAACGCGAGGGGGCCTTGTGTGCCTGTCCGAACATATTTCCCTCGATGCCTCCAAAATAACTACCCTGAAGTGCCCCGGATGCCCCAAGATATACGGGCAAATGCCATAAACAATCCAAAGATGACCTATCACTGCCTCCAATACGGCTCAAGACGCTGCCAAGACTGCCAAGATGGCCCCAAGAGAAACTAGGATGGCCCCAGAATGCTTCAAACACGGCCCAAATCAGGCCCAAGACGGCCAAAGTCCCTCTACATTGCCCAGGGGGGCTCCGAGAGGTCCTCCAGAAGGCCAAAATCACTGGTTGTCCGGTGGCTGTTCGATCGTTTTCGCGTTCTCGCCATTGCGGGCTTCCAACATCCGGAGACAGCCCCAGAGGCCTCCAAATTATGCCGAAGACGGCCTCAAAGGTCCCAAGGGGCACTAAGTCTGGCCAAGAGGGGCCCTAGACGGCCCAAGAGCCACCCCAAGACTGCTCCAAAAGGGCCCCATGTCGGCCCCAGATCACCCAAAGACGACCCCACAATGGCCCAGAGAGGCCCCAAAGACTGCCTCCGAAAGCCACGAAGCTCCTAAGAGCCCCCCCCACCAGCCTTCGAGAGGCCCCCAAGAGGCCCCCAAGAGGCCACAGAGGCCCTCAGGAGGCCCCAGGAGACCACAAGAGGCCTCATTTGCCTTCTCCTCCTCCTCCATCCATTGTCCTGATAAGCAGCATTTTCCTATCGCATTATCAAACGTGTCGGCAGGGCATGCCGGGCGTTTCGCCTGAAACTCCCTCACCACTTAGGGTCCTGAAGCTTGAAGTTCGCAGAAGCTTCAAGGATGAAGGGGGGCCGTTATCAAAATGGAGCTCTCGCCTTAGCGCCGCGCGCACTGGTCGTAACATATCGCGGCGCTTTCACGGATTGAAGGGGGCGTGGTCAAAATGAGGTAGCACCGCACACATCCGTCGTAAGCTTTGCCAGGGCTTCACAGATGGGGGGCGGTTCCTTTCCAAAATGGGGCTCTCGCCGTAGGGCCGCGAAACTTCGTCTTACAAATTTGCGACAACTTCGAAGATTGAGGGCGAATCCTTTTCAAATTGGGGCGCTCGCCGTAGGGCCACCCACATTCGTCTTACAGGTTTGCAATATGTTCAAGGATTGAGGGCGGCTCCTTTTCAAAACGGGATCCTCGCCTTGTTGCCGCCCACTTCTGTGCCAAAGGCTTGCAGTAGTTACAAGGACTGGTGACGATTCAGTGCCAAAGTGGGGCTGTCGCTGCAAATCTTCCTGACATGCACAAAGGCTGTGCTGATGAAGGGCGGTTCCGCTGCAAGATTGTGCGTTCGCTCTGTAACTGTAAGACTAGAACCTGGGACATCTTCACCAGAAGCACGCATGGAGGGCGGCACCTGTACAAATGAACCTGGCGCGACCCCAATTAGGGGAAAGCTTCCTATTGGATGGTCGCAGTGCTCGGCATTGCTTAGCCTTGCTTGCCATTGCTTGGGGGCGCTTGGGGCAGGAACCCGAGGAACCCGAAGAACCTCCGAGCAAGGGGCAAATTAACAATAGGAGCCACCAACTTTCAACCAAGTAAGAATCCCTTAGGCAAGCCTGATGGGGGAAATGGGACTGTGGCTTGAGACTTCTTCGACACCCAATGCTATAGGTTAACACTTGTGGCGGCCAGTCGCAAAAACAAGCGGGGATATCGCTGGGCACCTCTTCGAACTTTCTGGTCCTACCTTTGCCCGCTCCCTCTTACTCGCTGGAAGGATGCAAGGAGGAGGAGGAGGAGGAGGAGGAGGAGGAGGAGGAGGAGGAGGATTACTCGCTGGAAGGATGCAAGGCAGTCAGCTCCTTTTCAAAGCGGGGCCCTCGCCAGAATGGCAGGCCACCGGGTGCTGGCCGCTCAAAGGGACGCTTCTCGAAGCGGAAAGGGAGGCTTGTGGTGACGTGTGAGAGGACTTGGGACGGGAGCGTGTGCTTCAAAATCCTCGATGCTTCTTGGGTTTACTCCGGTCCTCCTCCTGCTCCTCCCCCCTCTCTTCCTCCCACAAGTTTTCCCCCAGGGACTTCCACAACGGCTGGGGGGAAACGTAGCCCCATAACTTCGCAAGACTTCGCCTTCATGTTTGGTCACATAGGCGTTTCAAAAAGGCAATGGGCGGCGGTGGTTCGCCGGAGGCGTCTTCGACACCCCGGTGACAACGTTCAAAATAAAAAAATAGACGAAGGCAATGTAAACCAAGAACAGCGTTACCCACAGCGAGTTGCCTGTGGCCTCGAGCGGGACGGTGAGCTCGTTCCAGCTGATACCCCCAGACACAGCCCACCAGAGGCTCAGCATTGACCGATAAAGATCCCCGTAGTAAGCCAACAAATTCTGGTCCTCTCGGGTGTGGATAGAAACCGCTTTAGCAATACGGCCTTTAGTGAAAGCTGCCAGGGTCACTCCAAGTGCGCACGGCACCGCATTCAGAGTGTACCCCAGTGGGGTGGCTAATCGACGTTCTCAAACAACTGAACGTATCCGGCGAGACGCACGTCGATGAGCGAAACCGACTGCAAACTGCACCAGCACACTCGAATGTCCATGTCGAATGAACCCGTGCAGGCTTCCTCAGTCGACTTGTCTAGGGGTGCGTTCTGTCAATGCCCGGTCCTCGACTCGCGTGCCGCCCTCAGTGTGCTCCGTCACCGCCTGAGTCAGAATGACGCCGAACGAGTACACGATCACGAGAAGCAGCAAGAGCGCCCAGATCACAGACTTGCCGGCGCAGTACAGCGAGTGCAGCAGTAGCCGCAGGGGCTTGAGCTGACGAAACGTTCGGACGAGGCGAAGGAGCCGAGTCAGGCGGAAGAGGCGCAGGACCTTCGCCGAGCCACCGCTGTCAAAGATGTCGTCCTTGCTGCCAGATAACGCTTGCACCACGAACTCCAGGGCAATCTCGACAAGCGCCAGCAGCAGGATGAGAACGTCAAAGATATTCCACACTCTTTCGTGAACGAAAAAGTCAAGCCTGAACACGTACAGTCGGGCTACTATTTCCACTGTGAACAACAAAGTGAGTGCGTAGTTAATTGCCGACAAAATATGTATCAACTGATCTGAGCTGGACCCACCGCTCGACAGGCTAGAAAGCATCTGGGTCTCGATACCGATCATCACTGTGCTGAGTATGATCAGGCAGGCGATTACAATGCTGAATCCGCGGCTTTTCACCAACCGGTGGAGAAACCTCACATCTTCTGGTGGCGGGGTGTTAACTCTCATCGTCATCTGTCGAGAGGAAACTTTAGCGGAGGACTGGATCAGGAGGGGGGGAACATCGAGCTTGAAGCGGCGGTACATCGCCGATAGATCAGCGATAGGGTCCGACCGCGAATCCGCAAGTTCCTGGGCGTGGTAGGCTATCAGGGCCCTATCGGCGATCCCTGGGCGACTGGGGGTCGATGCATCCTCTCCTGAGCCTGTCCCCCCTTGAAGTTACCGCCCCTGACCTGTGTCCTCCGCACGGCAGCGTTGAAACGGTCCTGGGGCAACCAGACGGTACCGATGCCGCGACTCCACGGACCTCTCCAGGGCTACCAGAATATCGAGGCGAATCCGGCCGTGGCGACGAGGCCCTCCCAATAGGTCCAAAGAGGCGAAAAAGAGGGAAGGGTAACTGTATCGGCATCTCTTCCTCCTCTGAGGTCCTCCTCCTTCACCGACGGGCATGCCTGCATGCTCTTCTCGTCGAAAGATCCCGTCCCCGAGCCCGCCCCGCTGGACCTGTGGGCGAAGAACTTATCTGTATCCGCGGCCTCGCGAGCCGGACCATCGGGCCACGACCCCGCGGATACGGGGCGTCTTCACGCGGATGCCCCGCGCGGGACGTATCCGTACCACCGTGTATCCGCGGGATCGCGCCTCAGAATCCAGGCCGCGAGGGCGTGGATATGGATACGTTCCCAGACCCCGGACGTCATACTTTGTTCGAAAACATCGGCCCCCAGAAGTCTCGACCCATTCCCCAGGACCTGCTTTTCGTCCTGGGCCGTTTTTTAACGGCCCAGGGGACCGGTAAGGGCCAAGGGTCGAAACCTGCAAAAGAAACATCCCGCCCTGACTTTTCCACGACGCGAGCATGTCTGGGAATCCAGACCGCGAGAGCGTGAATAACCCTGAAAGACCTTCAGACCCCCCCAATTAGAGGGTAACAAATTATTAGTTCCGCGGTCTCACTGGGGGTAACTGATCATTTTTGTTCCGCCGCACCCGCCGCGCAACGACGACGACGCCGACGACCACTACGACTACGGAGGAGGAAGGGGGAGGAGAAGGAGGAGGAGGTTTTAGGACCAGTGAGAAGGAGAAGGAGGAGAAGGAGGAGAAGGAGAAGGAGCAGGAGGAGAAGGAGAAGGAGGAAGGAGAAGGAGGAGAAGGAGGAGGAGGGAGGAGAAGAAGGAGGAGAAGGAGCAGGAGGAAGAGGGAGGAGGAGGAGAAGGAGGAGGAGGAGGAGGAGGAGGAGGAGGAGGTTCACCGCCGAGAGAAAGGGGGGGGGCCAACACTAAGGACCCTTGGCGGATGTGGGCACGCTCGCCGCTCCCGAGGACCGGCTGCCGGCCCGCACCATCAGCCCCAGCCCCGCGCGGCGCGGTCGCGCGGCCCGAGCCAGCATCAGGCTCACGGCGCGCCGCACCTGTCTGGGCGACGCGCGCACCCAGGGGGGGGGGACGGCGCGAGGAGGGGGGGGGGGGGGACTGGCCTCCTGACACGCGGGCCACGGCTCGAGGATCGAGGCTCGAAGATCGAGGCTCGAGGATCGAGGATCGAGGGTCGAGGCTCGAGGATCGGGGTTCGAGGGTTGAGGCTCGAGGTTCGAGGATCGGGGTTCGAGGGTTGAGGATCGAGGTTCGAGGATCGGGGCATCGGAACAGGAGCCCATGGGGTCCGCCGACCCCCGCTGGCCGGGGGAAAGAGAGGCATGTGAGACATCTGGCTGCCCCCTTCCCTCGTTCCCCATTCCCTGGGGGGCCACACGGTGAAGGCATCGGATCAGGAGCCCGTGGGGTCATGGAAGGAGACGGCACGGCACTGTCGACGTTCCGCGCGGACCTCTCGGATGGGCACTGGGGCCCCTTGGCGGCGCCTCTGGCGCTGCTCCTGGCGCGCTCCGCGCACCAGGGAGGGAGGTCCAGCGCAGATCCAGGAAGTCCGCGTGGACCGTCGAAAGCTTATGCTCATGCAGTTCGAGAGAAGGAATCCAAGGTCTGGAAGCCAATCGAGCACCAGCTGAGGCTTGGCCATGGATATCACCGCTGCCCTCATCGGATGAGGAATCCCTGAGGGTCTGAAGCCTCCTGGGCACATTCCTTCGCGAACGCCCCCGCCGTAACGTGGCGGCGGCAGCGGCCTCTGCGACACGCTCTGCCATGCAGGCGGATAGCGTGTCGCTCTGCTCCATGGGGCGGGGGAAGGCTCGGGACGTCGACGCCTGCGGACCAGGACGTGGCTAGCGTGTCGCGCCGTGGCGTGGTGGGCCAGACTCGGCGGCGCGACCCACCAAGCAAAAGTTCCCGACCGCAGTGCGAGGCGGGGATTTATCCATAACTATCCACCGCCAGGGGACCCCAGAGGGCGGAACCGATGTCCCACGCCCCAGGGGGCGGTGCATACGGGTATGCGTTGGCCCCAGAGGTTCCCGCAGATCGATCCCCCAGGCGGTGGTTATGGATAGACCCCCGCCTCAAATATAAGAGGTCGGGGGACGCTTCTCCCGGGTGTCCCAAAACGGTGCGGTGACGGATCGTACGGTGACCTCGAACCCTCCAAAGACATTACCGCACGGTCCGTGACCGCACGGCTTTGGGACCTCGGCGGCCCCCGTAGTCGCCCGCGACGTTCTTGGAGAACGATCCGAGTCCCAAAAGTGTTCGTTGTCGGCGCGCAGAGGGGGGAAGGCTTCTTAGAAAGATGCTGTTTCTTAGAAGGCGCCGGCCTCCGCGCCTTCCAAGAAGCAGGGGTGCGTCTAAGAAGCCTTCCTCCCTCCCCCCATACCTTCCTCTGCACGTGGCTGGGGCCGGTGGCCCCGAACCCCCACTGACTCACCACGCTGTGTGGTCACCACACCAATCTTCGGGGCATCCGATTCTCAGAGGGCGGGCGGCCTCTCACAGAGGATCTCCCGGCCTCTCAGAGGTCCTCTCAGGAGGCTCCCAGGCCCCTCTGAGAAGGTGTCCCTGCCTCCTAAGGCGCCCCCCGTCTTCTAATTAGCCAGGACGCCCACTCCCCTTGCGCGTCTGGCTTGCCGGTCATATCTCGGGTCCCTCGCGGCCCTTCTGGGACGATCCAGTCACCCCTGCAAAGCGGTCACGGCGAGGCGCAGCTGCTGGACAGCATCCCGAGGCTGGAAGGCCGCCGAGAACCGACGCAGACGCACGAAAAGACTCGACCTCGAGACCTCGATCCACTCGCGCCGCCCCCCTTGCGGTTCGCGCCGCCACGCCTTTGGGCTCCTGCCCAGTGCGCTGCCCAGTGTGCTGCTGCCCTCGCCGTCGCCGCGGGACGACGGCGCGGGGCTGCTCTCGACGCTACGGGCGCGCGCGAACACGACGTCGGCCGAGGTCGCCGGCGTCATGGGCTGGAGGCCGGCGCTGCTTGTCGCAAGGCTGGGGCGCTTCCTGCGGCACGGGCTGCTCCCGGGGCTCCGGCTCCCCGCGCGGTCGGCGGAGCTCGCGTGCAGGCTCTCGTACCTCCGCGGGGGGCTCATCGAGGCTCGAGCTGGGACCATCGAGGCTCGGGGCTCGAGGCGTGGTGGCCTTTTCGGGGCCCTCCTCGTCGCCCCGCCTGGACGCAGCTCGAGAAACTTGTGCGAGAACAAGTAGAAATCAAAGGATCTTGGCCCCTAAGAAATCGAAGAACTTTCTAATACTAAGAAATGAACAATGTGTAGACTTTGGTCGGCTGGCCGAGATACTCCGCAGCGAGCTCGGAGAGCTTCTGCCAGAAGAGGTCCGGGCTCATGGCGGGCGACTCCGCGGGGTCGTGGCGCGCGAGCTCTGGGATCGTGGCGGCCATGCGTCCATGCGCGCGGGGTGCATCCAGAATGGCTTGGGCCAAAACGGCTAGAGAGTGCAAAAGAAGAGCAGCTGGAGTATAGCCCCGGAACCCCCTGTGAGCCACAGGGCCTGGGCCAAAATTCGCCTCAAGGTGGCCCCAAGCCTCCCGAAACAGCACCAAGAGAGCCCCAAGAAGGTCCCAAAAGCCCTCCAAGAGGCTCACGTAACTATACATCAGCGTGCGCCTCCTGCCCATCATTCTCTCCCTCTTGCCGTCCTTTCCTCCTTCTCCTCCTCCCACAGACATGAAAAACGAGCTTGTTGCGTCACTCCTCCTCCTCCTCCCCCTCCTCCACCTCCTCCTCCTCCTCCTCCTCCTCCTCCTCCTCCTCCTCCCCCTCAAACTCCTCATCCCAGAGACTCTAGTGGGCATTGTTTCTGGATGGGCTGATGGGGATACTTTTTTTGTTCGCGAGCGCGCAGGGGTGCCAGGCACCGTACAGAAACGCGGCTAACGAGCAACGGCCTCAATTCCGCACAAGAGCGCACAGGAGCGGGTTACGCTGATGGGGGTACGCGGAGCGCCAAAAATTGAGGCTGAAGCCTGCCGTACGCGCCGCCCTTTTTGATTGCACCGCATTTCTCGGGGGCGTCCAACAAGGGGGGCGTCCAAGAGGGGTGTTCGCAAATCGTGGCTCGAGGCATGTGCGCGGACCAGGGGGGAGGGGCCGGGAACGCATTGAAATAACAAGAGGAGGTCATGAGATCTGGCGAGATACCATGGCCCCCGCCCTGATACCCCCCACACTCCTAGTCATCACCCCCTCTTGGCAGGCCCCGGATTTCCTGTGCAACTTTCATTGCGCCGGCCTTGCAGACGTGCTGCAGCGGATTTCTGTGTGGATTTTTGCCCGAAGCGGCGAGCGAAAAACGAAGTGACTGTCGCGCGGATTCTTTTTGGTCTTCACTCCTGGCCACAGGAAAACCGCACGAAATTCACCTCGAAATGCGGAACGAACTTCTCCAGGACACCCCGGGCCCACCCTGTTGTTTTCCGAACGAATCCGCTGCGCGATGTTAGCGCCATGAGAAATTGGGCCCGGGCTCCGAGCCGGGCCCCAACAGACGGCACAGTGCTTGCCTGGGCCGCCCTGGGCCGCCCCAGCTGAAAAGACCCACGCCAAAAAGCCCAGAGCACGCCGCGCGCGGCCCACCTCCGAGCCGGGCCCCAGTAGACGGCACAGTGCTTGCCTGGGCCGCCCCGGGCCGCTCCGGCTGAAGAGACCCGCGCCAGAAAGCCCAGAGCCGCGTCGAGCGCGTCGAGCTTGTGCGGCAACGAGTTTTTGCTGCGCGGCCTGGGCCGGGCCGCCCCGACCGGGCCCCAAGCGGGGCCCAGGCTGGCCCCCCACCGTCGCCGCCTGCCCCTGAGATCCTGGCGATGCGATTGTTGAATGCCGGGCGTTCTTGCCCTGCTTCGGGCCCCGAGACCCTCACAGTTCGATCCGGCTCGGAAAAATGGCGCAGACAGACGAGGTCTGGGGTTCTGGTGGTGACTTCTGGCGATGCTGCAATATTTGTTTCAACGCCCGCTCTCGGGGACGGGTCATGCCCCCCCCCCCCGGGGACACGATCATTCCGAGTTGTGGGAACAGGAATCGGATGGATGTATGTTGCATCTGTTGGGGACCTCGTCGATTCCATCCTGCCAACCGCCGGACAGTGCCCGAGGATGATGAGGACGATGACGATGACGATGACGATCTTGATTGTGGTGCTGGTGATGATGATGATGATGATGATGATGATGATGATGATGATGATGATGATGATGATGATGATGATGATGATGATAACGATGATGATGATGATGATGATGATGATGATGATGATGATGATGGTGATGATGATGATGACGATGATGATGCTGACGATGACAATGATGCTGATGATGACGATGACGATGACAATGCTGATTATGACGATGATGATGGCGATGACGATCAGGACGACGACGACGACGATGATGATTATGATGATGCTGATGATGGTTATGACGATGATGACGAGGAAGAGGAGGAGAAGGAAGAGGATGATGATCATGCTAAAGATGAAGATGATGATGATGATGATGATGATGATGATGATGACGATCATGATGATGCTGCTGCTGATGATGATGATGATGATGGCGACGGTACTATTGATGGTGATGCTGATTACGATGTTGATGATGATGATTACAATGCTTGCAGAGATGCTGATAACGAAGATGATAACGATGATGGAGATGATGATGATGATGATGATGATGATGATGATGATGATGATGATGTCGATGATCGAGATGATGATGATGATGATGCTGACGATGCTGATGATGCTTCTGATAATCAGAATGTCACTAGTAATAAAAATGATGAGGATGGTGATGATAGGGACGATGATGATGGTGGTGATGATGATGATGAGTATGGTGATGATGATTGTGGCGCTGATGATGGTGACGACGACGACGACGACGACGATGATGATGATGATGATGATGATGGTGACGATGATGATGCTGCTGACGATGATGATGATGCTGCTGATGATGATGCTGCTGCTGATGATGACGATGCTGATGACGATGATGATTATGATGATGATGATGATGATGATGATGATGATGATGATGATGATGATGATGATGATGATGATGATGATGATGATGGTGCTGATGGTGCTGATGGTGATGATGGTGATGATGGTGGTGGGCTCTCCTCACCCTGGGGGCCCTCCCCGAGCAGGCGCCCCTGCCGGGAAGCCCGCAGGCCCGATCTCGTTGCCGGCCCCCCACCCCCCTCCCAGAAAAGTATGGCCTCGGCGCCCCGTTCCCAGGTCATCTCGAGAGCTGTCGAGGGCACTTCACCGATCTATCGGCGATGCACCGTCGATTCCAGCTCGATGCGCTACCTCCGCGAGCCGCCAGACCCCCCCTGTCGTTGCCCCTGGCGTCCTCATGAGGGAAATGGGTCCTGAGGTTTTCCGCCGCGGTTGGCCTCCCCGGAGCCCTCCCCTGGCCGCGGGCTTGTCCGAAGACGACGGGCGAAGAGCTGGCCCTGGGAGCCCAGATCACCTGCGACTGAAAGTTCCTGGTCGTGGATTTCGGGGGCGCCGAATTTCGGTCGCGACCGAGGCGGGTCGAAGTTCGCTGACGACGAGACGGCGCGTCGGGGTCCAAGCGAGGGTTTCGAAGACGTCGACGGCTCGCTCGATCGTTGCCGAATTCGCGACCGGAAGCCGGGGGGCCAGGAGGAGCCCCGAGGAGGCAGGGCCAGGAGGAGGAGGAGGAAAGGGAGGAGGAGGAGGAGGAGGAGGAGCGCCGGGGCCCGTGCCTCGGGCGTTCGTCAACGGGCGAGGAGGGCCATGAGCTCGAGGAGCAAGAAGCTCCAGAAGCAACATTTCCCTGTGCCGCGCGCGGATCTCTTCAGGCAGGCACACGTGAACCTGCGCGCGGATTTCTTCAGGCTGTGAACCCTACCCCTGCATACGTTGGCTGGATTTCTGAAAACCCCGGCTGGAGTTCAGAATTTGAAGGATGTCTGCAGCCAAATGAACCTCAGGGAGGGTGTCTGTTACCCCAGCGTCGCTTGGACATTGGACCAGCAGGGGTAGGATTCGCATTTGGTCGTAGATTCTTGGATCGGCGTTGGGCCCCCTCTGGCTGCGCCTCCAGCCCTGGCGCGCTCCGGGCGCCAGGGTGGGGGGTCCAGCGCCGATCCGAGACATCCACGCGGATCACCAGGAAATTATGTGTATGCCGTTTTTTGCTCCTCCATGGGCGGGAGGGGTCAGGAAACGTGCGCCTCTCGTGCACGTCTTGGGCCCGTGGCGGCAGGTCAGGGGAACATCCGGGGCCCCTTGAGGGCCACCTTCCTGCGCTCCTCACTCCGTCCCCCGACGCTTACTGCCCGCGCGCTGTTGCCGTCCGCCCGAGCGGCATGAGGGAAGGGGGCCCTGGTCTGAATGGGCCCCGGAAACGGCAGGACCGTTCTGCTGCCGTGATCCAAAAATTACCCCTGGAATCTGGAACCCGCAAAACAGCTGTTCCTCGAGACAAGGACTTGCTCCAGGAGTGGAGCGGGAGCCGGAAACGTAAAAAACGGCGACGGGACTGGATAAAAAAAACAGCGCCCAAACCGGAGAGCAAAGTGCAGGACAGAACCAGTGGAACAAAAACCGTTGGGCTCGCTGCCCGAGCCCGACCGCGATTCCGAGCCCGCCGAGCCCGAGCCCGAGTCCGAGCGCGAGCCGAAGCGCAAGCGCGAGCCCGAGTGAAAGGGCCCAGGGAGACACAAGCAAAGAGGCACAAGTTCCAGGGTGCCTCATATTTCTCCACATGCTTTGGGTGCTCGTATCCCCCATACATCCCCCTCTGATCCCACACGCTTGCGGGAACCGACAATTCCAGTCAACCCGTAGAATACGGACACACGATAAGGATACAAGGGCATTGGACGGCCATGCGGACACTTTGCGAGCGGGGCGCGGCCAGCTGAAGGGGCCAGAGATGGGCCGAGAAGGAAGGATGCAAGGGGCACCTTCGAAAGTCGTTCAGCCTTGCTATGGTGCCTGTGTCTGTTTGCCCCTCCTGACCGAGGCGGAGCCCGAGGCCCGGCGCGGACTCCAGGGTCCCCCGCCCGCCCCCTCGCGGGACCCACACCCCCGGCGCCAGGACTTTGTCGCAACCTCGATCCCCGGAGGTCTCGACCCCCTTTTGGGGGGGCCCGTTTGTCATCCCGGGCTGTTTTTTGTTGACGGTCCCGGGGCCCGATCCGGGCCCCCAGAGGCCGAAAACAGCGAAAGCCTCCAGCCGTGAGTTGTTCCTGACCCGAAGGGGGTCTGGGGAGCACCCCGCGTCGCCCCGAGTCGCTTCTCGACGATCCCGAGGCCCGGCGAGGGCCCCTCCGAGGCCGAAGACGGCCAAAAGCCGCCCGCCCCGCCGTGGGCACACGGCATGCCTGCTGCAGCTGCCGG